GGATGGGTAGAATGGTCTTTTGGAATAGGAGAGATAAAGAAATAAAGTAAATTGTAGTAATTTTGATTTTGGATTATAATACGTTTCAAAAGAATCTTTTAAAATTATGGTATTTTGGATAATTCTATCTTAGATTTTTAACTGTATTTTATATCTCTTGGGAAAAGCTAAAAAAAAATAAACTAAAACCATTGTTATTTAACTATATATATTTTGGTATGTTTAAATATTTTTTAATTTGCGCAAAATGTATCATAATGACACTATTTGAAACGGATAGAATATATCTTAGTCAAACTCATATTTAAATTCGGCTGGATTCATCATGCACTTACATATTGGTATTTCAAGCTTTAAAAATAGAACACATCAATTCTCTAAACTTGGTCGCTGATTTGCTTGCTTTTGTAAATTAGTGTTGTCTCCACCTGTCTCGAGAAAACGACTGAGGCTACAATCTTTAACATATGCCTGCAAATGAATCCACTTGCGTACGCGTGGATATGCATCTAGTTAATGCTGTTTGGGTTTGATGTTAGTAAGAGTTGAACTTTCAAAAGACAATGACTCGTCCTTCCAAGTCTTTGACCGAGTTAAGATGAAGTAAGAAACAATATAGATTATTATTATTAACATTTTTTGTTTTTGTAAGATGGTTTACTTTGGAAATTAGTAAATTAGCTTGGATCATGACAAGAAAATATCAAATCATTTTTACGTGTATGATGAATCAAGAGGCATTCGTAGGATGTATATATATGACTATTGAACGATGACAACGTGATACATGAGTTTTGGATATGGATAGGACTTATTGAAGATTGCTTTTGGATTCAAGTTAGAACTAATCATCATCTCCAAGCGAGAGAGGAATCATAAGCAAAGACAACTGATGATGAGACAAGTTGATAATAAACGAGAGTAAAAACAAATGTGTTTAGAAAATATTGGACTCTTATGAAAATAAAGTTACAAAGTGTATAAGCATATATAGGGATTAGATATGATAATCTAATTTCCTAAAATAATATATCATAGATAGTGGTGAATTTCTTATTTTTGGATATTTTTTGGATCTTCGTAGATTTTTTGATTTTTCATGATTTTCATAATCTTGATATGATCAATCGCATTGCTCTTCTAATATTCACCGGTAAGCTCATACGTGGTAACATGTGTGAGATTGAAAAAATCTTTAAAATATCGGCAATATACCATGTTAAGTCTTTTGACGTTTAAAACCGACCTCGCATTTGCATGTTAATTACTACAGATTAACATTAGATTAAAAACGAAAATTATAAATGAATAAAAGTAATAAACACAAGAGTATGAAATACTTTTTTCGTAATAATAGTATAAGGAGGCAAAACAAAAGTAGAGATAGGGAGGCACAAATATGTATAGTAGAATATCACCTATAAAATAGGAAATTGAGTAAGTAACGTATCTAAAAATAGAATTAGGCAGAGAGAATTAAAATATGGTGAAAATTGTCCCTACATTGTAATTAAGGTAATTATGAACAAAAAAATCCTTAAAAATATTTTGTTCCTCTATCTCTAGAAAAATTTCCCTTACAGCTGTGTCATCTCTGAAAAAAAATTCCAAGATAATCAAGTATGCCGTGAAGTAAAAGTGAAAGAAAAAGGAAATTACGCTTTGCCATTAGTTTTGGAACACAGAACCAATAAAATTATATAAGGTAACAGTTTTACGTCCAAAAACTCCTCTCAC